AGATTGGCAATGAAATGATAAAGGGAATATCAGGTGGAGAGAGAAAAAGAACATCAATTGGAGTTGAATTAGTGAGAGATCCATAATGTATTTTATTGGATGAACCAACTTCAGGATTAGATTCATTTACTGCTTTTGTTATTATGTAAATTGAAGTATAAATTATATTAGAAATCTTTTAAAAAAGTTATCTGTTGTTTCAAAAAGAACAATAATTTTCACTATACATTAACCAAGTTCAGATATTTACTTGTTATTTGATCAGATATTTTTACTTGCAAAAGGAAAATTTATTTATCAAGGTTCCAGAGAAAGAATGATAGAATATTTCTAATCTATTGGTTTTGATTGCCCAAAAAAAGCAAATCCTTTGGATTATTTCATTTCAATTATGTAAAATGATGTAAATAGACCATAAGATCTTTAAAATTTATTTATAGGATATGAGAATTAATTATAACCTTTAATTGAATAATAATTATCTAGAATTTAACCTACATAAATCTAAAAAGAATCATATTAAGCTAGTTTTAAATAATAAGTTATTCAGATATTCAAAAGAGGTATCATAAATGTAAAAAGAGATAAAGTACTTGTAAAAGGTAGAATTGTTATGGCAATATTTCTTGGATTATTAATTGGAGGTATTTTTTGGGATGCTGCAAATGAACCAGGATTTAAGGGTACTTAAAGTACAACAGGAGGACTTTTCTTTCTTGTTATGAGTAGTTTTATGTAAGCATTAAATGCTGTTATTGTTCAATTTCCAGCAGAAAGAGATGTATTCTTAAGAGAAGAAAATTCTAAATTGTATTCAACACTTGCATATTTTACTGGAAAGAGTTCCATAGAAATACCATTCTTAATACTCTTTCCAATTATATAGTAGTTAATAAGTTATTGGATGATAGGCCTAAATGATTAAACTGCTAGTATTGTTGTAATTCACATTTTTGTTTGTGTTTTGTTAGGAATAAGTGGAAATAGTATGGGTAATTTTAATATAATAATTATAGGATTAATGGTTGGAACAATGTTGTCAGATTCTAAGAATGCATCTGGAATAATTCCTTTGGTTTTGATGCCACTTATAGCCTTTTCTGGCTTTTTTGCTAATTAATCCTTATTTATGAATTGGATAAGTTGGGTTTAATATTTAAGTCCAATGAAATATGCATTTGAAGCATTAATATATGATGAATATGATACCAGAAGACATGAATTCATAGGAGGAAGAATAGACAACTTGAATCCTATAGATAAATTCTCTTTGGATTTTGGAATATGGAACAGCATTTATGTTTTGATCGCTTTCCCAATAATTTTTAGATTACTATCTTTAATGTTTTTATATTTGGGAAGATCAAGATAGTAGTGAGTTTTTTATTAATCTCTATGAAATGTTATATAAATATAAATTCCTCTTTTTATCAGAATTCATAATAAAGAATTCTTAAGATATTTAATTGTGGAATAAATTTTGGAAATTAAGACTTCCAAAATTTATTATTAAAAAATTTATAACATGAAAGGAACCGAAATTGTACCCTATCAAAATAAGGAATCTACAAATAGTGTGACAATCAGCTTTTAAAATTTAACATACTAAGTTAGTGTTAAGAATCCTTAGAAGGTTATAGAGAAAAAATAGATCTTAAATAACATATCTGGAATCTGTAAACCAGGTTAAGTTACTGCAATTCTTGGAGCTTCAGGAGCAGGAAAAACATCACTACTTAACATTTTAGCCAAAAGAATAAATCCTGGTGGTAATGTGACTTTGTAAGGAACTATTCAAGCAAATGGCTAACCTTATAATAGCGAAAAATTTTCTCAGTTTTCATCTTATGTTATGTAAAATGATGTGCTTTTTGGAACTTTAACGGTGAGGGAAACTTTAGAATTTGTAGCAAATTTAAAATATGCTGATCCTTAACTAAAAATTGAGAAAGTAGATTATGCATTAAAGACATTGAAATTAGAAAAATGTCAACATACATTAGTAATTACTTATAATATTATAATAGATTGGTAATGCTATGATTAAGGGTATATCTGGAGGTGAGAGAAAAAGAACTTCAATTGGAGTTGAATTAGTAAGCGACCCATTTTGTATTTTGTTGGATGAACCAACTTCAGGATTAGATTCATTTACTGCTTTTGTTATTATGTAAATTGAAGTATAAATTATATTAGAAATCTGCTTAGAAAATTGGCTCGTACATCAGGTAGAACAATTGTTTTTACTATACATTAACCAAGTGCAGATATATATATGTTATTTGATCAAGTCATGTTATTAGTTTAAGGGAAATTCATTTATTAAGGTAGAAGAGAAGAATTGGTTAATTATTTCAAAAGCATAGGTTTTGAATGTCCAGCACATTCTAATCCATTAGATTATTTAATGAGTATTATGCATCATGAGGATGCTAGTCATCCTCATTATACAACTTTATTTTCTGGATATAATTCAAATTTTGTATAATAAATTGAGAGTGAAATAAACGCTATTTAAGTTTAATAGATATCAAGATAATCAATTTAAACATCTTTTGGATTCTAAGTAAAGGAAATCTTTAGAAGAGGAATGATTAATGTGAAAAGAGATAAAGTTTTGGTGAGAGGTAGATTAGTAATGACTATATTCATTGGTCTACTTATTGGAGGTATTTTTTGGACAGCAGGTAGTGAACCTGGATATAAAGGGATTTAAAGTACAATAGGAGTTTTATTCTTTTTGGTTATGAGTAGTTTTATGGGAGCTCTTAATCCTGTAATGGTTCAATTTCCAGCTGAAAGAGAAGTGTTTTTAAGAGAAGAAAATTCTAAATTGTATTCTACTGCAGCTTATTTTACTGGAAAAAGTTCAGTAGAACTTCCATTTCTATTTTTATTCCCTATTATTTAATAATTAATCTGTTATTGGATGGTTGATTTAAATGATAAAAGTGGAGATATAGTAGTGATAAACATTATAATTTGTATTTTACTTGGTTTAAGTGGAAATAGTTTTGGTATAATTAAATTATTATATATTAGGTCTTATGACTGGATGTATGTTCAGTAATCTTAAAGCAGCTGCTGGATTTCTACCTGTAGTATTAATGCCTTTGGTTATATTTTCTGGTTTTTATGCTAATCAATCTATGTATATGGATTGGATTGGATGGATCCAATATTTAAGTCCAATGAAATATGCTTTTGAAGCATTAGTATTGAATGAATTTGAAACAAGAGATGATGAATTTTTAGGTAAAACAATTCAGGACACAAATCCTATTGAAACTTATGATTTAACACTAGGTCTTTGGAAATGTTTGGTTATTTTAACTGCCATCATTTTATTTTTCAGATTTATGGCTTTAATGTTTTTATATATATTAAGAGGAAAGTAACAATGATATTTATAACAAAATTATGTGCTTTTTTATAAAGTTATATTTTCATTTTATTTATTATTATCTACTCTTAGAAACTATATAATACTAAGAGTTTGTGGGTATTATGTATATTGAAATAGAAATTAAAAAAATCTTATTTTAAAAATAAGATAAATAGATTCTATTATATTATATATAAGGCATATAAAAATAATATATATAAATTTATTAAGTTATTAATTCATTTTCTAAAAATTATATATAATTATAGTTTTTAATTAAGTATGTTACAAATTAAATATAACAATAAAATCATTGAACTATTCCTTATTTATTAATTAAAACTCTTAATTTACCTTAGGATAGTTATTAACAAGATCTTATTGAAACTGAAATAGGATTGGTAATTGAAAAATATTGTCCATCAATTTAAAAATATGTTCTTAATGGTTCATTCTTTTTAAAATTTAATTTGATTGGTCCTTTAGTCTAACTTAATCTAGTTGCTTAACCTGGTAATATTCTTTCAGATCCAATTCCTAATATAGAATTAAATGATAAAAATTCTAAGACTCCATCAGAAAATGAAGGAGGATGAAATTCATATTTTTTATAACCTTCTTCATATTATGCATTCATCCATATATTTTTTAATCCACCTGCATATGAATTTATATTTAAACATAGTAAATTAATAGGATTACCAGGTATAGTTATTGAATCTCTTTATCCAGTATTTTCTTATGTTTTAAATAACAATTTATTCTACATATCATCATGATCATCTAAATACTCTAATGTTTCAATTGATTAATTCATTTTAGGTGTTTTTAAAAATAATTTCTTGAAACCTTCCCAACAATATACAATTTTATTACAACATTGATAAGTTGTTCTATTTTTATCAAATCCATAACCAATTCTAGCATCAACTCCTATACTAAAATAATTGATCATAGGTTTATAAAACTTATAATCTTTTAGTTATATTTTGAGTTCTCCAACACTATTGGTATGTCTTTTGATTTCACTAATGAATCCATCCTTAATTAAGTAGGACACATACTTTTTTGAGAACTATATCGACATCCCATACATCAAAGAAGGATTCAGCTCCAATGAGCCATTATTCCACATAGTTCTATAAAACCTTATTGTTTTTTCCAATAACATCAGTTGGCACAGTTGTTCCCCAACCTAAAGTATTAGCAAAATCATTTCCAGTTCCGAATGGGAATGGTATAATAATGCATTTATTTAGATCAATTTAGTATTATAATAATAATCCAACAATCCACATAATTGAACCATCTCCACCTGCCATAACTATATGAATATCATTATTTTATTATTATTTGATTTATTCTAAACCTTTATTTCTTGAGACAGGTTCATAAATATTAAAGAATTTGATTCTAGCATTTTTTGGTTTAGTTAAAAAAGTCAATTCTTATTGCTAAAATATTTAATCATAAGTAATTTACATCATATTTCAAGAATTATTATCCTCTATTACCTCCACTAATTGAATTGTAGAAAAGATAGAATACTTATTCCATAATTTTATGTTAAATAAATAATAATACAAAAAAATAAGTAGTTGTGAATTGATTAATATCATTCTAGTAATTATTCTATCTCTTAGGTTATTAAGAATAGATCTTAAAATTTTGATCTATTAGTTGAAATTTAAGGACGATCAGTAATATTTTCAGAATCATTTTGTTTAATATCTTCTAAAGTATGTTAACTATTTTATTTAATGTATTCTCTCAAAAGAACAGTATTTTTCTTTGGTTATGCTATTATATTGAATATTTTAGTATATACTTCTTTTTAATTATTTTTTGGTAGCATCATCTATAAAATATTGTAATTATTATATTGTTTCAAGATTCTTTTATCTTCTTTCTAAAGCAATTTTATTCATTTTATTCATTATATGTGGGAAATCATCATAAATCTCATTTTCAAAAGATGTTATAGTTAAATAATACATTTCACATTATGATTCACATTAAGCTACAGTTTCTCTTTTTATATGTAGAAATATTTCAATTTCTCCAAAATATGATCCTCCAATCATACTTTTAAATGCAAATTATTTTTTTTAATTAGTTGATTTAATAACAATAAAATCAGCTTTAAAATTCATTCTACCATCAGCAATAAAATAAATTGCATCAGGATTACTATTTTATTCCCATATTATTTCAGATTCCAAAAATAATATAGGTTTTAATAATGGAACCATTTTAACTAAAAATTATTTATCATCCACTAATTAAAATAATTACATATTTCCAAATACTCCATTATGAATATTCATAATTATATCATATCTAAGATTAATTGGAAGATCTTTAAAAATATATTTATTATCTGCCCAAATAAAACAATTCTTATCAAAACTATATTCAAGAGTTTCTTTAAGTTTTTCTCTTAAATTAACTGATATTTTCTTTTCTATACAAAACTCATTTAAAATTGCTTATTATTATTATAATTTATGACCTTTATAATCTATTTATGAAAGTATACTAGACAATAAACCAATAATCATAGAATAAAAACCTACTCCTACAATCATTAAAAATATAGTAATTATCATTTCAGCAGAAGAAAATGAATGAATATCTCCATATCCTACTGTTGTTAAAGTAGTAAATGCATAATATATACTTGCTATATATTTAGTTTATATAGTTGATGATGTTAATTCATTTCTAGATACCCATGTTTATGAATCAAAATCATTAAATGCTGCAACATAATACCATAAACATCCAGATAAATGAATTACTAAACAAACTGAAATAAGTAATGATAATAATCTAGAAAATCCATAATTAAATTAAAAGAATTCCATAATTTCTGATATACCTAAATATTTCATCATATCTATGAATCGTATTATTTTAAATAATCTGTACATTCTTGGAAGTTTTAGTAATTTAAATAATTTAATATTCTATGATTTCATATTGCCATTTTCAGATATCACTCCATCCAATACATAATTTAAAGGTAAACATGATAATAAATCAACTGTAAACCAACCTTTTAAATAATTCATAAATATAATCTTTCTTTTCTTTACTAACTTTCCTTCTTCATCATAATAACCTGATAAACAACTAATTATTAAATCCAACCAAAATAATATGTCTGTTACTATATCTGCATAATACCATGCTTAAATTTCATTATCTAGATAAAATGAAACTAAAATTTATTTTATATATTACTTCTAAATGGTAAAATTGTAGCAACATAAATCATCATTAATAAAAAGATTCCATTCCAAATTTACTTTAATAATGAATTTGGATGGATTATTGGAAATTCAAGTTTCTCTTCATCTTAATCTTATGACTTCGATAATGGAAATAAATATTTTTATAAAGCAGGTCTTAATTACTTTAAACAAAATTTATACCTGTCTCTTGTTGATATATCATATAGATTAGAAGATGTCCCATATGTGACTATTTCTTTTGTCACTTAATTCAATATATATATTGTACGCAATCTTATAAGACATCTTCTAAATATTTTTTTAATCTCATCATGTTCGAAATGTCTTCTTTCTGGCACTACTTAAGTTGATTTCTTTGATCTTAAGAAGAAATTCAACACTTTAAAAGCAGTCTATCCACTTTTCACATGACTACTACGGTTCATGGATAATATAAATGATTAAAATTTCTTTTTTATTATTCATCATTCTTCTCTCATATTCAAACTGATATAACTTCATTTAACTAACTTTCTTCTTTTTAAAATATTTCTTGTTTTTAATTCTAAACATAATTTAAAGCCAATGATGAATCAATTTTAACAAACTACTTATTTTATTATGCAAATTAACATCTTCAAATATCAAATATTGATTATATGATGATACTATTCAATCAAATTCCACATTCAAAATTAAAGATTTACATTTTGTAAGAATTCATTACTAATAAAATCTTAGAATAAGAGTAAAACTAAACAAAGAGATCAATCTATAAACAACAATCAAAATCATACTTTTATTTTTATAAAAAAAAAATTTAATACTAATTATTCAATCTAATACAATGTATAACAGAGTTTATCGAGCTTAAGAAGATCAATTATATTTAGATAAAGATATTAATACAATTCGATTGTAAATCCCTGAAAGTGAATTGAAATCTCTAAAATCAAGTAGATTGACTTCTTAAAGTTAATAAATTAAGTTAGTGACAAACACAACTAAGACTTAATAATATCAACAAATAACTAGTAATGCATCATTAGTTTCAGAAAAATTACTTATTGATTTATAAATTATACAAGAAGAAAACGTAAAATTAATCAGTCAACTCCAAGTCTTGTAAATGAATACAAAATAATACTAATAGGAAATATAGGATTTTGATGAGAAATAAAAATAATTAGAAAGTAAATATAAGGACTAGATATTACGTATATAATTGGAAAATGATATTAATTTTAAGAAGGTTGAATAAGAAAATGTAAAATTATTAAGCTAAGTCGAAGTATATCAAAAGAAGCAATCACAATTAGAAATTTTGATAGATGATTACTTAGCCTAAATTGATAAACTTAATGCCATAAATAATTCGTTTTAGTAATAATTACTCTATGTGTAGAAAGATAACTCTCTCTCTTATAAAGATTAGGATAAATAAATTTAAAAACTGAGTGAAATGAATCAATAACTCTTAATCTAAATTACCTAATTAAATAATTAAAAGAACACAGATTCATTACAAATCAAAGACTTAAGTATTATACGTTAAACACTCTAAGATCAATTGAATAAGCATAAGGATGAAATTACTATGCTTAGTGAAAGACTAAAGGAACTTTAGGATCAGAATTCATAATTAAGTTAGATGAATACTGAATATCTTAATTAAATTACAGTATTTCAAACTTAGATGTCAGAAGTATAAAGTAGATTTTAACAAAATACTTATGAAAGAGAGACTAAAACAAGATAAAGTGAATAGTAATCAAGATAATCTACTACTAATAATAGTAGACAGATTGAGGAATTAAATAGCAGGATAGTAAATCTTAATAATTAATTAAATTAAGCTAATTAATAAAAATAGTAATTATAATAGGAGTTATATTAATTAAAAAAATAATTGTAATAGGAATAAGAAGATAAACTTTCAATTTAATCTAGGTAATCAAAGACTAATTAATAATAAAAAATAATTATTGAATTGGAAGAGAGGATTAAATTGCTTTAGTAATAATTATAGAATGAATAGATGAGTAAATCAGTTAATAATGGAGATTTAGATCTAAAGAATAAATAAATATTAATTTTAGAATAGAAAAATTAAAAGATATAATAATAATTGGAACAATTTTAAGTTTAGATGGAGGAAGAGAAAAGTTTATTGTATAAAGAAATAGATTAGTTATCAGATTAGGTTAGGAGAGTTTAGTAGTTAAAAAATACAGAGTATGATTTTGAGTATAGGAATTCAATAAAGTAAAAAGAAACATTATCGTAAGAGTTGAGTAAGGCAAATTAGAGTATTCAAAAATATTAGAGTAGAATTAAAGTATTAGAGGATTAAATTATGTAATTGAGCAATGAGAGTACAACAATAGAAAAATAGAATAGATTTATAGTGGATTTAGAAGATAAATTAAAATAGTTACAAAGAAAATATGAATAAGAAATAAAAGAATATAGATTTGAAAATTAATAAATTAATTAGTAATTGGAAAAGGTTCAATCTGAATTTCAATAGTTGAAATAGAAATATTCTAGGGAAATAGAAGATATAGAATCTAAGTTATAGAGGGAGAATTAAAGAATTTCTTTGTAATTAAATGATAAAGTTGCAGATTTAAGTTAGTTAGAATCAAAGAATAAACAATTAAAGGAAGAATTAATGAATTTAGAATAAAGATATGAGAAATAATTAAGAGAAGCAAATAATAGAATAAAAGATGTTACAGATGATTTGGAAATAATGATTGAAAATTATAAGAAAGAGAAATAAGTAATATTATATAATAATTATTATTTAATAGTTAAATGAGAAATGGGAAAGCTAGAATTAAGATTTAAGAAGATAATTATAAGTATAAGTAGAGGAAGTAAAAATAAAGACAGAAAGAGTAAGTGTAGAGAAGTATGAAAGATTATCAATAGAATCACGAAAATAAATTGAATAAGTATAATAGTAATTGAATAATGAAATCAATTAACTTTAAGGAGATGTAAGAATAAAGAATGAATAAATAAATCAATTAAAACAATAGAATTAATAATAAGAATAGAAAATTATTAAATTTGAACATTATATAAGAGATTTAGAAGATTAATTATAATAATTATCTAGAAAGGAGGAATAGTTGAATTAATCAAAGAATTAATCATTGGCAGATTCTATGAATGTAAAGATTATTTAATTAGAAAATAATTTAATTAAGGCTTAAAAGAAAGAAGATTAATTAATTTAGAGAATAAAACAATTAGAGCAATAATAGAATAAATTAAAAAATACAAATGAATTGGAATAAAAGAATAATTAAATGTTTGAAGAAATATAAATATTAGTATAAACAATTAAAAGTTAAGATTTTGAAATTTAAACATTGAAGAATGAATTAATTTAATATTAAAGAGAAGTATCATTTATGAAAGAAGTTGTAAAGGAAGACACAAGTAGATTGGAAACATCATTATTAGATGATAAGAATAGAAGAATTGTTGAATTAGAGAATAAATGTGCATTATTAGCAAATGAAAATACTAGATTGAATTAATTAAAAGTATAATATATATATATATAATAGGCAAATTAATTTGATGAATGGAAGAGAAAATATGATAAATTATAATCAGAATTAGATAGAAGTTTAAATTTAAGAGGATAAAATGAATAAAATAAAAATGTTATAATGTCTAGTAATTTTGGATAAATTTCAAATGCAAAATGATTTATTTAGTATCATAAAAATAATTAATTTTCAACATGTTTCTTTTTTTGTTTGATATAACAACCAAATAAAAGCATTCCAAAAAGGAATACTAAAAGAATTCCAAAAATAAGCCAAATTATAAATTTTTTAGTATTATTATTTTTATTATCATTATTTTGATTCATATCTATAGTTACATTTTTTTCATTAAAGTTATTTTTTAAAGTTATTATAATTTTTTCTGATTTTTAATGATCTTAAATACAAAACTTAGTAGTATTATGAATTTCATAAAGAGCAAATACTTCCCTATTAATTGAATTAGTTAATAAATAAATTTAAAATTCTTATATAAAAAATGCTTATTATGAAACTGAAACATTTTAATATTATATAGCTCCTGAAAATAAAGTTGAAGATATTGTTGGATGAACATAATTTAATTGTAAACTATAAATGGCACTTATAAATGTAGTAGATTAATAGTAAATCATCAATAAATATTAGTCTTTATACAATTTAGCTTATTTAGAAGGCCAATTCCCATATCCTTAAAATATTTGTAATATTTTATAATTATTAATAGAACAGATAATGGGTGAAAATTTACAAATGTATTGTATTTATAGAATATAATGTGAATGTTTATATGCTTAACAGAATAATTCTGCAGTAAATAATTATTACTAGATTTTGCTATGTTTGATAATTATTCTCTGAAAAATGGTTTTAGGATCTATATAAAAGCCTATTTATTAGATGACATCTAATAAATCAACTTCAATTTATTACATTAAAATAAAGATATTCTCTTTGAGCTGATACATAGAAATGATGATTTCATTTGATTTTTTGGAGTAAATTTAATAATAATTTTATTAAAGAGAGATGACATCTTGGAATTAATCTAGATTCGAATTATTAACATCTTGTACATATAATAATTCATCATCTTTAAAGGTATAGATATTTATTTATATTTCAGAGATGATGAATAGGAAATTAGATAATACTTTAATAATTTTAGGATCACTATTTAAAATAATTCCATCATATTTGTTAATGCATTTAAAATCCTTGTCACAATTTAGTATTATAATCTAATAATTAAAAATTGGAATCAATTTTAAAGAAGTAATAAATATAAGTTCATTATAAACTAAGAGTATTTTAGTATAAGTTAAAGAAGTATCTAAAAAATAGATTTACTATATTTTAGTAGTCATATTTAATTTGACAATTTTATCCTAATATAAAATGATTACTGAATCTTAAATGTATTCTTTTATATCTAATCCTGAAGAACAAATCTCCTTTTCTAATAAATGCATGGATTTACGAAGTTTCAATTATTGACTTTTTAAACCAATATCAACTACTTATCCAGTGTACCAAGAATACTTACTTTAACAATAACCTATAGGTCTATTTTAATTAAGTAATTCTTCAATATTCAATTATGTTAAATTAACAGTGATAGTTGTATAGGGATTTACAAGAGTTGAATTAATAATATATTTGTATTATTCTTTATTATCATAACTTGAAATAACTAAGAATGTATTAACTTTAACTAAATAATTAGGATTATCTATATCTTGATAATAAATTGAATATTTAATTTTCTATGGTATTTCAAAATAATTATTGATATCAGCTATGATGAATAAATTTGAAACTGAATAAAGGATTTTATATTTAGTTGAAAATGTTGTTAATAATGCATTATGACTACT